AGAGAATGTCCATCTAATAATAATAATAATAAATCTTTATTTCTCCACAAGTAATACAATAAACTATAACGATCTAAGAAACAAATTATTAATGAACTTACAATGTACATCAAAACTTATTGTTAATCAACAAAAAACAGTTTGCTTTAACTTGCGAAGAAATATACCCAAGAGAAGACCAAAAATTCTGTGTGTGGGCGGGAGTCTCAACTAATACTTAACAACAACAACAAAATTTCTCTGAAAATGATAACAAAATGAATAATAAATTATATTAAACCTTTAGTCCAATATTTTTTTGTGGAAAAGACAAGAAAGAAAAACAAAATTCACCAATATCAGGAAGTAAAACGAAATGTATGTAACTATAATAATGAGCACATTTTAAGAGTTTGAAGGAAACAATGAAAATACAGACTCTGAAAGACAGAAATATTTTACACATTTATGAATACGTGTCCATATTTCGTCTGCTATTTATTGTACAGGTTCATGTTGCAAATGGCATCATTTTAAATGTGTGCAGCTGAGCCCCTCTGATATTAAACACATGAAGGAGGGAGATTTGGTGAGGAACTGGAAATGTTCAAAATGTTCTCTCGGCATTGAGGTTAATGAAAATGTGGTATTAAATGAAGGAATTGTTGTTAATGATAAGAAAAGTCACAAGGAAGAGCAGTTAAATCACTCAACACTATTTGAGGAGTTAAATAAATCGATTCTCAATGAAAATGAAGAATTAAAAAATGAGCTCCATTTGGCAAAGAACAATAGCTCTTTGTATGTATTGGAACTGGAAGATAAGTTAAAGGAATATGAGGAAAAGTTTGAATCCCGGGAAAAACTATTTTATGAGAATGAAAGGATATGCAGAAGAAGATCGAGTATTTAGAGCAGCAGCTGAAACTTCAAAAAGAAGCCAGGGAGAGTATTATAGTACAGGTTGAGGAGGAGTCAAGACAATCTTTTACACATAATCATATACAAAATAAGAATTGTGATAGTTGTGATATTTATAAAGAAGAATCTAGAAAAATGTTGGACACAATACGTAGCTTAGAGAATATAGCAAAACTACTGGAAAAGGAGTGTTTAGAAAAACAAAAACAAATAAATACATTAGGAACAGCAAAACCCATATGTTTAAAATGCTTTCCCCCACTCAAGAACACTAATGATAATGGTAAACTTCAAACCCTCCCCGCACCTGATAAATGGCATGAGGTGTCTGCAACCTCTCATCGTAATAAAATAAATACTAAAGGGAGTGACATGACACCTAGCTTTGTTACAAAGAATCAGTTTCAGGTGCTACAAGATGTTTTGGAGGATGTCGACTCGGATGTAATTGTCTCTGTTTGTGGTTCAAATGACAAAGAAGAAGAAAAAGAAGAAAGTACTACAACCAAGCCAATAATCAAAAAGAAGAGAAAAATACTTATTTGTGCCGACAGTCATGGAAAAGATTTGGCTTGGTTTGTGAACAAAGCTCAGCAAACTCATGAAGCAGTAGGTTTCATAAGGCCTGGTGGACTTACAGAACAGATAATTAATGAAAGAAACATTAAAGAAGAAAACCTGAAGAAAGAGGATGTTCTTGAAATTGTTTGTGGAAGTAATGATGTGGCTAAGAATGAATCTGACAAGGTTTTTGAAACTTTAACAAATATCCTGCCTAAAGTAAAAAGTACAAATGTTATGTTAGTAGATTTACCAATGAGACACGATTTAACAAATTGGTCTTGTGTAAATAATGAAGTTAGAAGAACTAATAAGCGCATTGAGGAACTGAGTGAGAACTATCATAATGTGACGGTGGTTAAGGCAAGTGGAGCACTGAGACATTTGCATACACAACATGGGCAGCACCTCAATCAGCACGGCAAGATATGGTTAGCTAATCTCATAACCAAGACAATTGCATCAACATCATCTGTCGCAAGAAAATGTCTGCGGGGCGTTGAAGATCAGCCGACTCCTCCGGGAACTGAGTCGCTGTTGGAAAACTACACCCCTCCAGGACAACCCAGTTTTGTGCATCGTCATCAACAACCACTAATGGACCCATAGCTGTAAGTACTTTAAGTAGATTACCAATTGTACACAGGTTGGATAATGTTAGTTTTTACAGCTCATCAGAAAAAAACAATGCAAATATCTATGAAAATAATAGTAGGCCTATTCAAAATAATAAAAAAAGCAGTGATAAGTTAAATTTAACAATCTTTCACCAGAACTTTTTTTATCATTTCTGTAAGCAATTCAGATAATCAGCAATTTGGATAGTTGGAGTTTGGATTGTTGTAAATCCTTCTAGTTTAAAAAGCATAAAATTACATTTTGTTTAAGTTTGACCTGATCTATAACTTGGCACAATTATGTCCACATCAAAACATCGTAATTAAGAAGACTGACACTGCTATTGTATGTTCTGCAGACAGCTCGTCTAGGCCAGTTTGCCGTCGGTAGCCGGCTAACCTAGTACTGTACCGTGTCATTTTAATTCTTAAGCTTATTGCGGTTCATTCTAACGTTAAAATAATACTTAGGCCCTAATGGTTATTCCAAGTAAGGTATTTGTTTCAATAAATCACAAATTAATTGCTACTTTTACGTTTCTTTGAAAAGAAATACACTATAAAAGTAATTATTGTTTTCCTACTGAAAATAAAAATATATATTTAGGGCCAAAAACGACCTTGGATAACAGGTGCTCGGATAATCGGGAGTGTACTGTATCACTTTATTTATCTTCACCATCTTGTTGTCTTACAAGTAACATTTTGACTCTTGACCTTGTAACAATTCCTTTTCCATTCAGCTGATTCCTCAGAGTTTCTACACCAATGTTCAAAATTGAATAGTTGAAAAAAATAAGTCATGCTCTTTGGTGAAAGTAAAGTTGTATTTTATTTAAAGATATTACATTAAATCTATAACAAAATATGTAGGCCTAAACTAAAATGTAAAGAAAACGTCAAATTGATCTTGAGGGAATAACAGTTTATATTTACCAATGTTGATCTTTGATTCAACTCTGGATAAACTCTCTTAAGGAGCTCATCAGTGGCTGTAGAGGTTCACCTAACTGCCACATCTTAATTTATTCAAATTCACTTGAGGGTAGGATACAAACGTTCAACCCAAGTAATTGGGGTGCCAAGAGGGTAAGATCTGCTCATTTCAAATTAATGAGACCTCCCCCTTCCGTACCAAGCCAATCAAACATATTTTTTTGCTTAGTCTCCATGACTCAAAGAAAACGTTTACATTTCTCAAATGCAAACCAAATAAAATAGATTAACATCTTTACTACAAAAATAAGTAATTGTTACTTCAAGGAGCATTTACATATTTTTTTATAAAAGAATTTTGAAAAAATAAATATGCCTACCGGGTGTCCATAAAGTCTTGGTCTGATTTAATAGCTTTGCTGTACAAAAACCATTAGAGCCAAACTTTATTTGTATGCCTTGTTTTGAAGAGAATTTACCATCCTTATGAAAAGAATCAAGTTTTTTTAAATGGTTACACCTAAACACAGCTGATTGACAACAATACAGTTATAATTGAATACAATAACAAATCAGAAATGGTGAGTTTACAAGAAAAATCACAGTGTGTTTTGTGGTTTCAAGAAACTCAATCCCCTACAGTAGTTCGACGACTTTTCATGCGAACATTTGGAAGACCTGCTCCTGATAGAAGAAGCATCAAGAGATGGTATTCTAATTTTAGGGAAGAAGGCAGTGTATGCGACAAGAAACGCACCGGACGCCCCCGCACCACTGAAAAAAATGTAGATGTCGTGCGCCAAACATTCCAGCTCAATCCCCGTAAGTCAATTCGTAAAACTAGCCAAGAGTTACACAGCCCACGTTCTACTATTCACAAAATTTAAAAAAAGAACTTAAGTTCACTGCTTATAAAATGCAGGTTGTTCAAAAGCTTGAGCCAAATTATTTTCCCTCCGAACTGCTTTTGCTACCCAAATGCATTGGAACTTGATGACAATAATTTGAAACGTATATGTTTTTCTGATGAAGCCACTTTCCATTTAAGTGGGAAGGTTAACACACATAATTCTAGAATTTGGGGAAGTTAAAACCCAGGGTTGTGATTGAAAATGAAAGGGACAGTCAAAAACTAAGTGTTTGGTGCGGTGTAATGCATGATGGAATTATTGGACCATTTTTCTTTGGGGAAGAAAATGTAAATAGGTTTGTTTACTTGGATATGTTGAAGTTGTATGTAGTACCTCAATTAGAAGAACTGCAACCTATGATAATATGATAATAAGATTTTAAAATCTCCACTTCCCCGGACGCTGGATCGAGCGTGATACGAAATAGCCACCTCGTTCCCCTGATGTAACACCCATGGATTTTTTTCTGTAGGGATTTGTCAAGGATACTGTATATTCTTCCCCGGTTCCTAATTTACAAACACTGAAGGAGAGAATTAGGAATGCTGTGACGTCTGTAACCCAAGATATACTGAATAAAACCTGTAACGAACTCAAAAGACGTCTAGAAGATCTGCAGGCCACTGGAGGCGCACACGTAAAGGTGTGTTAAGTTTGTACATAGTTATTAAATCTTAAGAAGTTACCTGTTATATCTGTGAATAAATCTTTATCCAACTATCACTCGTTTTCATGCCATGCAGTTTTCTTATGAGGCCAAGACTTTGTGGACATCCGATACTTCCATACAGCGCTCAATCTTCCTATGGATTAAAATTCCTCCAGATCAATATGTAATAACCGATGCTTCAAATTACATCAACCATCAACTACGAATAAAACAAGGTTAGTGAGAAAGGAGATTACATCCCACCTGTAAGACTTGGGTCGACTGGATGCTGGCCTTGTGAACAACTTCGGTCATCAACTTTAATATAATACAGATCTGGCAAATCTAACAATGTGCACATATGCAATAGCTGTATAACTCTTTGATAAGTAAGCACTAAACGAAATGTATTTCTATAGGAGTTACCTATAGCACAGCTTGTTGGGCAGTTTGATTCCCAGGTAGAAGGCTATCACGTTGACTAACTGAGTCGTATAGGTAAGAGCCGCACTGATGTTGTATGCTTGGTTTTGTTCAATCGATTCAATATTAGTCATAGGTACTCCATCTTTCGAGGCACTAACTGGAAAAAATTTTAAGGTTAATGAGAAACATAGTTGTTTGTAGCTGAAGAGAATAAAATTTGAAATACACAAGTACATGGTTGTATATTGCATGAGTAGATGGTTTATACACATTGGCTGTGCAACCAAAGCATCATTAGTGCTTGAGGAAGACATTAGAAATTGTTCCCGACTGTTGATGGTCAGAATCAGAAATGTTTAATCTCAAACTAGAAACCAAAACTTATAAATCCAAATCACAAATCTCAAAACCTAAAAGTGAAACTTGTTTACTTGCTGGTTAAGGTTAAAAAAATAAAGTTAATAATAAAATCATTACATTGAATTTTAGCCTCCTGATCGCATTTAAATACTATAAATTGGTGTAAAATACCTGCATTTATGCGATCAAAGCGTTGCCGTATTGCAACCAGTTTCGACTCACATGGGAGTCATCCTCAAGCCAGTCAAGATGTCTAGTCGGTTCATATGAAGGTCGTTAAATGATAATAAATATTAATAAATAAGACAGCATATTAACACATTTAAATTTGGACAGACATAACTTTTGCCCGATATGTTGTGTCCCGTACCACAACAGTTTATTATCTTTGTTTTACCATCATAAATGTCAAAATTTAAACGTGTGAATATGCTGTCTTATTTATTAATATTTATTATCATTAAACGACCTTCATATGAAGCGACTAGAAATCTTGAAATATGGGTTTAAAATCCTGGGTAATTTCCAAGCAAGATGAAAATAAATTAAAAAATTTTTAAAATAAAATATTTAGAAGGAAAAACAAAATACCAGGTTCTCCCTCGAGAAAATTTTGAGAAATATGTGATATTATATTGCTATCAATATTGATATCAATATTGCTGATTTAGGCTACCAATCTGAAAGTGCCAAATATCATATTAAATATTTATTTTGTTATTTTGGGAATTTAATATTAAATTATATTTAGCACTGAGGGGGGTCCGGTTTTGCTACCCCACTCCCCCGTAGGCAAGACCCCCAGGTTTCAATTAGTTTGGATTGGCCGGCTTCTAGTGAACGTTTTGTGGATATTATTTAAAATTAGAGGTATGTGGATAGTGAAATTTTCAGTCCGGGTCGGATAGTTAAGGCTAGTTCAGATTGGATTGGATAATTAGAGGTTCGTATTCGGATTTTTTCTGATTCAGATAGTTCGATGTTTAAGCAAGAAGTAAAGAAGTATTAAGTAAAGAAGTTATGATTTACATTTTTACTTACCAAAACTACAGTATGAATACTGCACAATAATTGTGATATTGTACTGTATAACCTTGGTTCAGTTATAAAAACTGTAGTTTAAATCAGGGGTCTCCAACCTACGGCCCGTGGGTCATATCCGGCCTGCGAATAGATTTTAACAGATTTGATCTAAATCGATGATTGTCAAAGTTGCGACAACACAACGCCCATAAAAAAATCCTCATTTGCGATCGTGAGAATTCTCCGATACTGTGGTTAACAATCCACACCTTGAGGTACCTTGAGGTACGCCTTGAGGTACTGTGGTTCCTCAAGGTCATGTCAACACCTGTAAGTAAATGTCGTTCTCTTGGTAATAATGTGATCGTCATTTGTGATGACAGCAACACTCTCGAGCATATTTTTTTGTCTCGGTGATACCGCGATTGTAACTCACGTTCGCTGCTATATTCGTAAGTAAATATTGCTGTCTCGGCAATACCATAATCGTCACTCACGGACACAGCAATGCCCGTAAGTAAATGTTTCGATAACGTAATCGTCATTCACGATCGTGGCAACACTCGCACACATTTTTGCAGTATCAGCGATATGGCGATTGTCTCTCCCGATCTCGACTGCACTGTGAACATCTCTTGCGGCATCAGTGAAATTTCTGTGATGATCTCCAGTAATCGTGTCGTGATTTACTTATGATGTTAAATGAGGAAAATGGAATGCCGTCAATGAATTGAGACTTATTGGCTATTCATGATCATTGTAGTCCTTGGTCCATCCATACCAAATTCAAGTACAATTCTCGGTGCCCAGGTTGTCTGGATACCCAGATACCCTGCTTAAATATGTGTATAGTAGTACACTTCTCTCACACTTTCCACAGTTTTCCCAATAAGAGAAAATTAGCTGTAGGTCTAAACAGGTGCCTAGTGATCGAGCTATCTTAATACAGATGTTCCTAGCTCAGTGAACCTTCGAATTGAAAACCATCCTTAGGATCAGGACAACAAACTTTAATCCAGATTTGGCTGACCTTAAACTGGCAAATACAAAATTCTCTCTAAAATTATTGATATTTTATCTTTACACTCCTTGTAAATTCATTGTTAATTATTCTTATCGGCATTACAATTAAATGTTTAATCAAGTAAACTTAGTAGTACATTGAAAATATTTAATACTGTGTCATCCTATGTTTTCATCCGTTCAACTTAAAAACTTCCATTATAGAACATATAATAATATTATGGTAAATATACTGTAAAATTAATTTATTAGCTTACCATTGAAAGAAACTAACTTGCTCAATGACTATTTACAATCACATGGTTTATAATTAATTAAATCATGTGTATGATTGTTTTACCTTGAAACAGTTTCTGTAAACAACGTTTATAATAAAGTTTAACAACTTTTAGTGATGGGCGGATCCAAGAAAATGTCGGTACCGGATCCGGATCCGGATCTTGAAAAATTCGGATCCGGATCTTCGGATCCGGATCCAGATACACACTGTCATAAGGGCGGGTTAAAAAAAACGTAATTAACAGAATGCCAATTTAAATCATACCGTTTAAAATTCAATCGGTAATGTTTAAAGGTTAATATATCTTATACACTGAGACATGGCCTTGCCATATAAGTTATTTGCATCAAGAGACAAACACTGAGTCATGGCCTTGCCATTTAAGTTATTTGCATCAAAAACATCGAGACATGGCCTAGCCATATAAGTTATTTGCATCTAGAGACAAACATCGAGACATGGCCTAGCCATATAAGTTATTTGCATCTAGAGACAAACATCGAGACATGGCCTAGCCATATAAGTTATTTGCATCTGAGACAAACATCGAGACATGGCCTTGCCATACAAGTTATTTGCATCTAGAGACAAACACTGAGTCATGGCCTTGCCATATAAGTTATTTGCATCTAGAGACAAACATTGAGACATGGCCTAGCCAAGAAAGAAGAAGAAAGAAATTTGGCAAAAATTGTTAACCCTTTAGGTGCCAGAAATTTATTTTGGTATTTTCCGAAAAGTGCCAGAGTGTTTTACTAGGTATATCCGAAAAGTGCCAGGCTTGCCGCGGGGGGGAAGTTCTGTTTAGATTTGGTAGCTTTCCTGTATTTTGGCTGTGGTTTTTGACTGGGTTCTGTTCAGGATAGTAAGGGAATCGGGGAATGTTATTGAATGAGTATGGTTTTGTTTGAGGTGTTTTGCTACTATTGAGGTGGGATTTTTGTGGTGACTAGTGTTGTGCTCTTTGAAGCGTTGGGAAAATGATCTATTCGTGAAGCCAATATATTGTTTGTTACATGGTGGATTGCAGGTTATTTTGTACACTCCTCTGTCTTTTTCTATTGGTCGGGCCTTTGTACTTGCTTCAATGTCGTATAGTGGTATAGGATTGTTTTTTGACTTGGTATGCAGGTGTGTAGCCAGATTTCTTGAAAGCTTTGCCAATTTTCTCTGATATTTTGCCAGTGTATTTGATTGATATATATTTTGGATTTGGTTCGGGGTTTTGGGCTGTAGTCTCGTTTTCAGGTCCGTGTTATATTTTCCTTTTCATTTTGTTTATAATGGGGTCAATTATGCTGGGGTTGTATCCATTGTTTTTTGCTTTTGTTTTTATTATATTAATTTCTTTTACATATTCCAGGTCGTTGAGGTTTTAGTTAATTAGCCTATAGACTAATGAACGGAAGCCAGCCATTTTTTGATTGTATGGATGGTTGGAGTCGGCAGGTATTATGAGGTCGTCCGTTTGGATGGGTTTCCTATATATTCCAACTAGCTGTAACCCGCGGGCTTTGCCCCGTTTAACTTCTTAATTTTCAAGATGATCTCGTTTGCATGGCTCAATCACGTCCTGGTTGAAGTTCGTTCGCTACGCTCACTCACCTTTGGGTTGGAGCTCGTTCGCTACGCTCACTCACCTTTAGGTTGGAGCTCGTTCGCTGCGCTCACTTGCCTTCAGGATAGCTCCTTCGCTACGCTAACTCGCCTCCAGGTTGAAGTTCGTTCGCTACGCTCACTCACCTATTGGTTGCAAATTAGCTGTTGTCATAAATGTAAAAGAAATAATAGTACTGCACCCTGTTGGTAATCCTAGTAACTTTAATGCTATTGAACATCATAGAACAGAACCAACTTGTTTAATTGAAACAGCTGTTAAGATTCATTAATTCCATTTCTCATAAGGTTAACATGGGAAACTCCAGAGCCACTGGGGCGGAGCCCAGAGGTCGGAGGGTAAAATCCTTTCTTAGTGAGCGTCTACTACCCAAAAGGAAGATGCCTTCCAAGTTTCAGGTTCCTAGGTCTTACGGTTTCTGAGATTTCGTGATGAGTGAGTGAATGAATGAATGAATGAGTCAGTGGTATTTGAGCTTTATATATATAGATAGCTACCTTTCCTGTGCTGTTTTTTGTGATTGTTAAATCGAGGAAATTTATACGAAATTTATATTTTCTTCTGTTTCCATTTTGAATGTGATGTTGTTGTGAATTTTGTTAATGTGGTTTAGAAAGAGATTAGATTGTCGTTTATTGCAGTTCATTACAAGGAATGCGTCGTCTACATATCTTGCGTAGAAGGTTATTTTGTTATAGAATGGGTTTGAATCAGAAAGGATGTGTTGTTCCTCAAATTCCTGCATATATAATTCAGCTAATGTGGCAGATAAAGGTCCACCCATGGGAAGGCCTTTGGGGTCATAGTAGATACTTCCCCTATATGAAAAGTAGCTCTGTTTAGTTACTATGGTAGTTATTTTGATTATGTCATTAACACATTCACTGCTAATGATATGTAATACTTTTATAAATGGCTAAAAAACATAAATATTAACATGATCATGTTAATTGAGTGACAATATATCTTTAATTAAATAAATTTTATACTATAAATTGTGAATTAAAATATATTATGTAATTATATACATCATGTATTATATATCTGCTAATTTACTTATGACGCACAAGTGCGTCATTAGCAGTGAACGTGTTAATTTCATTTTCTAAAAAATTGTTCGATGATTTTAGTCTATTTTTCAGAACTTCTATTGATTCATTGCGTGGAATGTTTCCGTACATATTATTTACATCAATGGAAGCCAATGTATATCTCACAGGAATATTTTGTGATTGAATCCTCTGAATGAAATCTTTACTTTTTTTGCATGATACTGTGGATGTGTTAGGTAAGTTGTTTTTGATTAGTGCGTTGATATATTTTGATATTTTGTATGATGGGGCTAGAATTGCATTTATGGCCGGTCTAATTGGGTTTCCTTCTTTGTGGGTTTTTATTAGAGGTTTGAAAGTGGGAGGGGAAGGGTTGGTGTTGTACAGATATTTGCTTGTGTCTGGGTTTATTATACAATTATTTTCAATAAAATCTTTAATTTCTTTGTTGTATTCTTTAGTTTGGTCTTGGATTTTGTTTATATCATTCTTTTGTAGGTATTCTTCTACCTTTTGATTCTAGATCGTTGTTCTGTATTATTACCGTGGAATATGCAAGAAAATTAATATAATAAAAACAATAGCAAAAAACAATGGATACAACCCCACCATAATTGACCCCATTATAAACAAAATGAAAAGGAAAATAAAACACGGACCTGAAAACGAGACTACAGCCCAAAACCCCGAACCAAACCCAAAATATATATCAATCAAATACACTGGCAAAATATCAGAGAAAATTGGCAAAGCTTTCAAGAAATCTGGCTACACACCTGCATACCAAGTCAAAAAACAATCCTATACCACTATACGACATTGAAGCAAGTACAAAGGCCCGACCAATAGAAAAAGACAGAGGAGTGTACAAAGTAACCTGCAATCCACCATGTAACAAACAATATATTGGCTTCACGAATAGATCATTTTCCCAACGCTTCAAAGAGCACAACACTAGTCACCACAAAAATCCCACCTCAATAGTAGCAAAACACCTCAAACAAAACCATACTCATTCAATAACATTCCCCGATTCCCTTACTATCCTGAACAGAACCCAGTCAAAATACAGGAAAGCTACCAAATCTATAAACAAGTTACCGAATCTGGACCCGACAGCCTACTTAACATAAAAGAGGACTTCAATAACTCCATCATTTTTAAGACCATGTACGAAATAGAAACCAACCGATTTGGCAACCCCGCAGAAATTAGACAACGTCGCAGATACAACAATTCTGGGAAATCCACACCCCAACCCGTCCATCCACCAGACACTGTCTCTGTCAGTCTAACAACGGTCCTGGCGCTAGTAAACACCCCGCGCTCGCAACACACGCCCGCCGCGCCGCGAGTGTAAGCGCTACCATGTGAACCGGTACAGTGACTCTCGTGTATATAAACTGTGTATATATTAGAATGTAAGTGTAGGATAGTGAACTCTGAAGATGCCACAACCTGTGGCGAAATGCGCATCAGGTATCAAAAATCAACAAGAACTTCAAAGCAACAAAAACCAAAAAGGTAATTCCAAAGTAAGTGGCATGGCAGAACTGGCAAACATTATTCATCTCACCAAGTGAATGTGTATTTCTAATAGGGAAAACCCGACCTTTGAGAGGGTCTTACACTCTTAAGAGTAGGAATTTTAAAATTCTAACCTTATTGCAAAACTACATATTGAGACGAATCTTTTGACACCTTGAACGTTAAAATTGGTCCACAAATAAGGGAGGAGTTGTGTTAACAAAAAACGGCTTCACGTATTACATATATAGATTTAAACAAAATACTAAAGGCTACATTATTTTAAATTGAAATTACTATAATCTTCTATTTTGTAAGGTGCAAGGTCAAGTAAGAATGCCTTCAGTTTTTTCATAAATTTAGATTCGTCTTTTTCGTTTTTTTAAAAGCTAGGAAGTTTTCTAAAAAAATAGTTTCCAATATAAGAAGGTTTATTTTTAAAAAGTTCAAGTCTTGGCTTTTCTTTAACTAAATAATTTTTACCCCTTGTATTATAATTATGCATAGGCAATTCTTGAGTCTCAGCAATATTTAAAAAATATTTAATTGTTTTAACACGTTCACTGCTAATGACGCACTTGTGCGTCATAAGCATATTAGCAGATATATAATACATAAAGTATATAATTACATAATATATTTTAATCCACAATTTATAGTATAAAATTTATTTAATTAAAGATATATTGTCACTCAATTAACATGATCATGTTAATGTTTATGTTTTTTAGCCATTTATAAAAGTATTACATATCATTAGCAGTGAATGTGTTAAAAATATATAAGGCGTAAACTGTAAAAATGCCCATCCCTTTAAAATAAGATTTGACAGACTGGTTATATTTTAATTTATGAATTATCCTGATTGTTTTTTTTTTGTATTTTCAAAATTTCTTTTAAATTCTTTTTCTTTGTCCCACCATAAATACTAATTCCATAGTTAATCTGTGATTCAATATGAGCATGATATATCATTTTAAGGACTGATCCTTCACAGAGATATGACATTGTTCTTTGGACGAATATACCAGAATTTAGTTTTTTTATTAAATACTCGACAAGTTTATTCCAGCTTAAATCCTCATCTATTATCAAACCCAATAGTTTTGAGGTTTTAACTTGAGCAATGGAATTTGTATCTATATCTAACTTTATACTTTTATCATTTTTGTCACTTTTTGTTTTGAAAAGAATGAAATTAGTTTTACTAGTATTTTTTTAATAATACAAACATAATTGTTAAACTTATGTTTTGGTTTTGTTGTTTGTTTGCTGTGCGTGCGTAGTGAGTTGTTCAAAAGGGGTTATGATCTCTGTTCCAGTGATGTGACGAACTCCATGACTTTTATGTGATTCTTTTAGTAATTTAAGTGATATTGATGATGCCAATAGTGAAGATGACTTTGATATTGACTATGAGCAATATGGAATATTAATTGTAGGCCAAGATATACGAATTCTTATGCACACAAAAAACTCACTAAACATTTTAGGCCTACCTAAACCGATGATTGTTGTCTCAATTTGATTTATTAAAATATGTTACAATGAATGTCTTCTTGAAGTATCTTATTTTCCTTATAGGCTAACCTATTCTATGTTTAACCTTAATCAATATCAATGTAGTTATCATATTGTATAAAGATTAAATAAAAATAGCATGCTCCTTTATTTATAGGGATAGCGAGAAGCACACATAAGTTATATATGTTATTAAATCAATTTTTAACAGGTATCGGTATCAAGTGCGGAATCGAGAATTTAAACCAAAGTTGTAGAATTGGAATCGGTAATGGAATCGGCCAATTATTCAGGAATTGGCCCATCACTACCTCTCACCCTTCTATTGTTTTGCCTCTTATTGTTTCTATTCTGACTTTTATTTGAGAAAAATTAAATCTATTGCTTACACAACTTCTACTGTAAAACCAAAACACAACTAGCTATCCAAGTGGAACTATTAAACAGTTTATTCGTTATTGTCAAATTGCATTCATACTATAAACAATGGCTGTTAACTATTATGGCGACGCAGCGCCCCTAGCATCAGGTGACGAGCACTAGTTAACTTAATTTGACCTCGGTGGTTCTTTTCAGCTTTATGTCTGTTCGTTATAGATTAATCGAATCATAAAGCAAAACAGCCGATAATGACTTGACTAAACGAGATATCGGTATTGCATCACACGGCTTCTTCTTTGAGCTCACGAATATTTTAGGCTAGGAAATAGTAAAACTCAAGAAAAAAATACAAGGTTAAGATTTAGTGTTTTGCATTACTTTGATTGCTTATTTAGAACTCAACTGCACTCTTTTCATATGTCTAAAACTAGCTGGCCCGACAGACGTCGTCCTGTCCTAATGTGGTTTTATGTCAAATGCTCGTTCATTTTCAAGATGAGCTCGTTCGCATGGCTCAATCACGTCCTGGTTGAAGTTCGTTCGCTACGCTCACTCACCTTTAAGTTGGAGCTCGTTCGCTGCGCTCACTTGCCTTCGGTTACATTTGACAACAAATATTCATAAAAAACAAATGGAATAGAAACCTATTTGATAGCTCTCATTTGTTATGCATAGATTTGTTTTTAAAAATTAGGTTATCATTACAACAGCTGTTTCCTTAATTTAATTTAATCAAGAAATGGCAAACATGGCATGGTAAACAAAATAGAACATTCTTCCATAAGATTAACATGTAAACTGCAAAGGGCCATAGGACGCTTCCCTTAAGGGTTTTTGAAACGGAAACAGGCTATTATGTTATTCTAGTACCTAAGGAATATCCCTGTAAATTTTCATGCCAATTGGTTCAGTAGTTTTCTAGTTATAAACGCTGTAACTAACACAACTTTCTTTTATATATTAAGATTAAGATATGTCAATGGTGTAATGAAATTTTGAAATATCCGTCTTGTTTTAGATTCATCGGATTGCAGTACCGCAGGTTACAAAGAAATCAATTGTAATTACAGTATTTTTTTGTTAACTTGATTATTTAACACGACCAAGACCTGAAGACTCGCATATGGATGTTTTGATACTCGTCATAGTCGTAGAAAACTCATCGACCGCTGTTAGATCGTTGGAAACATAGTGTTTTGTCCTGGGGCTCGGATAACCGTATCTGAACCAAACCGAAACCAACGCGATTATTCGGATATCCACACACCTCTTTTTAAAATGTTTGCTCATGTAAAGATTGAAATACTAAACTCTTATTTTCCTATTTATTTTCAATTACAGTCTACATACCCCAGTCATTGTAAGAGGAGTAGTCTCCAGACGCAGGCAGGGTAGGGGCTACAATGCTGTGATGAAGCTGTCCAGATACATCTGTAGTCACCCAGCGGCCACACATGTATGTTGTTGTAGCTGCCTCATTCAATGCACTCTGGGTACCACTGCTATCCTGACTGTAACAACTCATTACCATGTAGTCACCCAGCGGCCACACATGTATGTTGTTGTAGCTGCCTCATTCAATGCACTCTGGGTACCACTGCTATCCTGACTGTAACAACTCATTACCATGTAGTCACCCAGCGGCCACACATGTATGTTGTTGTAGCTGCCTCATTCAATGCACTCTGGGTACCACTGCTATCCTGACTGTAACAATTCATTACCATGTAGTCACCCAGCGGCCACACATGTATTTTGTTGTAGCTGCCTCATTTAATGCACTCTGGGTACCACTGCTATCCTGACTGTAACAACTCATTACCATGTAGTCACCCAGCAGCCACACATGTATGTTGTTGTAGCTGCCTCATTCAATGCACTCTGGGTACCACTGCTATCCTGACTGTAACAACTCATTACCATGTAGTCACCCAGCGGCCACACATGTATGTTGTTGTAGCTGCCTCATTCAATGCACTCTGGGTACCACTGCTATCCTGACTGTAACAACTCATTACCATGTAGTCACCCAGCGGCCACACATGTATGTTGTTGTAGCTGCCTCATTCAATGCACTCTGGGTACCACTGCTATCCTGACTGTAACAACTCATTACCATGTAGTCACCCAGCGGCCACACATGTATTTTGTTGTAGCTGCCTCATTTAATGCACTCTGGGTACCACTGCTATCCTGACTGTAACAACTCATTACCATGTAGTCACCCAGCGGCCACACATGTATGTTGTTGTAGCTGCCTCATTCAATGCACTCTGGGTACCACTGCTATCCTGACTGTAACAACTCATTACCATGTAGTCACCCAGCGGCCACACATGTATGTTGTTGTAGCTGCCTCATTCATTGCACTCTGGGTACCACTGCTATCCTGACTGTAACAACTCATTACCATGTAGTCACCCAGCGGCCACACATGTATGTTGTTGTAGCTGCATCATTCAATGCACTCTGGGTACCACTGCTATCCTGACTGTAACAACTCATTATCATGTAGTCACCCAAAAGCCACACATGTATGTTGTTCTGGCTGCCTTATTCAATGCACTCTGGGTACCACTGCTATCCTGACTGTAACAACTCATTACCATGTAGTCACCCAGCGGCCAAACATGTATGTTGTTCTGGCTGCCTCATTCAATGCACTCTGGGTACCACTGCTATCCTGACTGTAACAACTCATTACCATGTAGTCACCCAGCGGCCAAACATGTATGTTGTTCTGGCTGCCTCATTCAATGCACTCTGGGTACCACTGCTATCCTGACTGTAACAACTCATTACCATGTAGTCACCCAGCAGCCACACATGTATGTTGTTGTAGCTGCATCATTCAATGCACTCTGGGTACCACTGCTATCCTGACTGTAACAACTCATTACCATGTAGTCACCCAGCGGCCACACATGTATGTTGTTCTGGCTGCCTTATTCAATGCACTCTGGGTACCACTGCTATCCTGACTGTAACAACTCATTACCATGTAGTCACCCAGCGGCCAAACATGTATGTTGTTCTGGCTGCCTCATTCAATGCACTCTGGGTACCACTGCTATCCTGACTGTAACAACTCATTACCATGTAGTCACCCAGCGGCCAAACATGTATGTTGTTCTGGCTGCCTCATTCAATGCACTCTGGGTACCACTGCTATCCTGACTGTAACAACTCATTACCATGTAGTCAACCAAAAGCCACACATGTATGTTGTTCTGGCTGCCTTATTCAATGCACTCTGGGTACCACTGCTATCCTGACTGTAACAACTCATTACCATGTAGTCACCCAGCGGCCACACATGTATGTTGTTGTAGCTGCCTCATTCAATGCACTCTGGGTACCACTGCTATCCTGACTGTAACAACTCATTACCATGTAGTCACCCAGCGGCCACACATGTATTTTGTTGTAGCTGCCTCATTTAATGCACTCTGGGTACCACTGCTATCCTGACTGTAACAACTCATTACCATGTAGTCACCCAGCAGCCACACATGTATGTTGTTGTAGCTGCCTCATTCAATGCACTCTGGGTACCACTGCTATCCTGACTGTAACAACTCATTACCATGTAGTCACCCAGCGGCCACACGTGTATGTTGTTGTAGCTGCCTCATTCATTGCACTCTGGGTACCACTGCTATCCTGACTGTAACAACTCATTACCATGTAGTCACCCAGCGGCCACACATGTATGTTGTTGTAGCTGCATCATTCAATGCACTCTAGGTCCTACTGCTATCCTGACTGTAACAACTCATTACCATGTAGTCACCCAAAAGCCACACATGTATGTTGTTCTGGCTGCCTTATTCAATGCACTCTTGGTACCACTGCTATCCTGACTGTAACAACTCATTACCATGTAGTCACCCAGCGGCCAAACATGTATGTTGTTCTGGCTGCCTCATTCAATGCACTCTGGGTACCACTGCTATCCTGACTGTAACAACTCATTACCATGTAGTCACCCATTGGCCAAACATGTATGTTGTTCTGGCTGCCTCATTCAATGCACTCTGGGTACCACTGCTATCCTGACTGTAACAACTCATTACCATGTAGTCACCCAGCAGCCACACATGTATGTTGTTGTAGCTGCATCATTCAATGCACTCTGGGTACCACTGCTATCCTGACTGTAACAACTCATTACCATGTAGTCACCCAAAAGCCACACATGTATGTTGTTCTGGCTGCCTTATTCAATGCACTCTGGGTACCACTGCTATCCTGACTGTAACAACTCATTACCATGTAGTCACCCAGCGGCCAAACATGTATGTTGTTCTGGCTGCCTCATTCAATGCACTCTGGGTACTACTGCTATCCTGACTGTAACAACTCATTACCATGTAGTCACCCAGCGGCCACACATGTACGTCAATGTAGCTGCCTCATCAGGGCACTCTGGGTACTAATGCTGTCCTGACTGTAAAAAATCATTACCATGTAGTCACCCAGCGGCCAAATATGTATGCCAATGTAGCTGCCTCATCAGGGCACTGTGGGTACTAATGCTGTCCTGACTGTAAAAACTCATTACCATGTAGTCACCCAGCGGCCACACATGTATGTCAATGTAGCTGCCTTATTCAGTGCATTCTGGGTACCACAGCTGTCCTGACTGTAACAACTCCTTACCATGTAGTCCAGCAGCCACAAATATACATCAAATTCTTCGATATGTTTTAGAATATAAAAGTAGCAGTAAAAAAAAAACAACCTTTACATTTAAGAAAAGAACTATAGCACTTACGACCAATTCAAACTGTCCTTCTAATCAAACTGTATTATAGGTGTTAATCCGTAGGCAAATATATAAATAAAAAAATACACAGGCCACAAAACATGTAACATGTAACGTTAACAACGTAAAGCTTTAAAAACTCAACATGGTTTGCTCAAAAAAACTTTCACTTGATGTGGTGCAGTACCGAAGTTATTAATCTCCCTTGGGTTTAAGTTTTTCTTAGATTTTCAAAGTATTTCCCATTAATAGCATTATTTGTAAGCAACTTTTAATGTTGACATATTAATAACAGTTTGAAGAAACCACCTTTATCAAAACAAAGGTTTCTTTTTTAAAAGATTACGTACCATCTCTAAACGATAATCGGTACATATATCTAGCCTAGTGTCAATTCATTCAAACATTCGGAGGAAATGTGACAAAAAACCCACAAATCTGGGGTTTTGGACGGTTGTAGTTTTACTTTCTAAGTAGGATAAGTACCGATATAGTTGTCGAAATGTAAGTACGTAGAAACCAAAAGTGATACATTGGAAAAGCGAGTTTAGCTACATCTGTAAGCTAAACCTCTGTTACGATCACAGCGAAATCAGAAAGATCTTCCAAGATCGCAGCAACATCCACGATCACCCACTGCAGTTGTGATTTTTTTACTTTGCACTTTACACAACTGTCCTTGAAGCGCCGTCAATGAGTGGAAACCTTTTTTGCAAGCTATTAGTGACGATGATTAAAAAAATGTAAGTATCCCAGCACTAATACAACACTGATTCACGGTATTTTCCCCGGTTATCAAAACTCAAGAACAATCGTTGCACTTGCGATTAATTAAGCCGGTTAAGTAAGGCACAACGTTTGTAATCTCACTTGGTTTGGATGTGCTAACAAAACTTGATGGGAAATGTTTGCGGTATTTGTAAACAACTTTTAATGTAAACATATCAGTGACAGCTAGAAGTGAGAACTAATCCAAACAGCTGATCGTTATTTCATCAAATGTAATAGTAAACATTGGGAGAAAATTTGACAAAAAACGAACAAAATTGGGTTTTTGATGGTTTATTATTTTGTTTTCAAAGAAGCGAGGCCATGTTTTTATAGCCAAAGACACTCTTACTAATCCAGTAAATACAGAAAAATGATTAGAACCTTGATCGGTACTCTATTTTTCTAGGAGTAGGCCGCGTAAAATGACATTTTGGCGTCACAGACGGAATGACAGAATGGACAAACAGACAAACAGACAGACAGACGGACAGACAGAAATTGAGATAAGACTTATTTCGGCTTTCTTAGGCTATGAAACATAAAAATAGCCAAAAACTGCATGATTCTAAGCAATGTTCAGACAAAACTGTAATTTTATTTATATACAGGGTGGTAATAAAGTCCGAAGACAGTTAAATATTTTTAAAAATAATGTAAATAGAGCTACAATACTTGGTACAAAGTTACAAAGCATACAACTTTATTTGAACACATATTCAGTGATCCAATAACTCTTCAGGGGGACGGCCCATAAGGAGTTGGAAGAAAATCTTAAATTGAAGCATAGGTCAATATGCACATCAAATGAAAGGTCATTTTTAGTAGAATACAATGCCGCAAACCGCACTTCAAAAGGTTGATCCTGCGCAAAATGGCAGCCATTCAAAGATTTCTTGAATCTTCCATTTTGAATCTTTGAACGACTGCCATTTTTTACTCAGGCGTTCTTTTGAGCTTGAATTTGCGGCATTG